GACAAAGACCTTGTCCTTCTTAGTGGTATATTTATCTCTTCCTCTCTCTACTCCTTCGTTCATTCCTAAACATAATATTTTCCCGTACTTATTATAAAACTCATTTAACTAATTTGATTAGATTAAGAAAGTTAGGTAAGTTAGTTAATTATAAGAAAAGTGACACATTTTTTCTAAAACACTATAATCATCTTTCTTAATACCTCTTCTCCCTCTTCTACTTGATTATGGTTGAAGGAGTATTCATAGAAGTAATTTAGAAAAAATTGATAAATATGAGAAATGGGTCTTATATTTAGGATCAAAACCAACTCAACAATTGGGTTCTATATTAAGGACCGGAGGAGTACATCATTTATTATAACAATTGGTAAAAAAAAAATTTCTATCTAAAAATTTTTTAGTAAAAAAGAATGATATGTTTTTATAGACGAAAAGTATGGATCCTAACATTTGGCACCTATAAAATATAGGGAATATCGCATAAAAAATTAAAAAATTATTAAATCTCAAAGTAGAATTGTTTTATATATTTTAACGGGTTTTCACTACATTTTGACTTGAAAAAAATATTAATTTTAAAGAAATTCTTGATTTGAAATATAATAATTTTCAGGCTGCTTTCGTGGGATTTTTCCTAAAGTATATAAGTATTTGAATTTATGTTTTTCAGAATCATAAAATTTTTAAACAGGCACTTCTTATCCTGATTTTTTCTAATTAAAATATATTTTAAAAATATTATTATTTAATATCTTTGTTCTCTAATTCTTAATAAATGATATGTTTAAAATATTCTTATTTAATTAGAAACACATTGAACAATAACAAAAAAAAAATTCAAATACAGACAAGCTACTTGATCCGCTTAATTTTGGTAATTATGTAGTATTAATTTTGATAACTAAGGGCAGATGGAGAGAGTATTATATATATATATATATATATATATATATTGAATGTTAGTTGGAGACATCCATAACAATTTACCAATAGAGTTTTTTTTTTAATCTTGAATTGTGTGTTATTTCATGATCTGTGGTTTTTTTTTCTAAATGTAAATATTTGACATAAATGTCCATTAAATTATAGATTTACTATTAGAACAAAAAAAGTGCAAACTAACTAATGAAAATGGGTTCAATTGATTAAAAAAATATTATATTTATGTTTCACAAAGATATTAATTCAAACCGTTCTACTTTTTGGAATGAATAAAATGTAATGAACAGTTTAAATGCCACAAAATTCATTTAATTTCAAGATCATTCACACGTTTTTAGTATCTCAATCATTTAAAATGATTTTAAGATTAAAATTTTCTTACTTCAAATAATGTGAACTTAATTCACATTCATATTATAATTCACATTCCATTTCTGGCTGGCAAATTTGAGAAGGTAAAGTTATATGAATTAAGCTATAATCAGAAAAATTACAACACATAGGCTAAGCCAAGCCACATATATGCCAGTCTTAGTCACACTGTTCTATATATAATAACTGAAACAATTAATTACTTACATTCATAGAAACCAAGGGAATTTTTAGACATTGAATCTCATGTAAGACTTCATCTTAATTGGGGAAATATCATTAATGTGATTATGATAGGTTACTTGTCAACAACTTTATCTATTTATGGAGATTTCTTAAATGAAATTCATTTTAGTTAGAATAAGTAAATTACTTAAATTAATCATAGCTAAATATATCCATCAAAATGAGTTTGTTGCGTAGTATCTGTCTGTATTCATGAATTAACAGATCATATATATGGCACCATAATTTTTTTAGAGATCTAGTTAAAAAAACGATGTCAGGATTAATGTTTTTTAAAAAAATGAAAATTTTTATTTAGTCCTAGTATAAAAAAGATGTATCTAAGTCCATTATTTTGTCATGTATGTAAGTTAATTTGATATTGCAAATTACATATTCACATTCTTGTCTACAATATGCGTATTTAAAGAGTATAGACGATGAAAAAAATAGTAGCATAATCAAGGTTAATATAAATATTGATAGAATTTTAACAGGAATCAAATTTAAAAATTAAAAATAATGAGGAACTGATTTTCATTATTTTTAAAACTATCTTGATTTATTGATAAAAATTGAACATTAATTAAACAAGCTCTAGAATTGTTCAGCAACCTAGATTAACATGTCAATTCATAAATTGTTCAATTGTTTAACTTAACTGCATTATTTTCATCACTTCTAATTAACAACTCACTAAATCAACTCCTCCTTTTCAGCTGCACATACAATAGGCACCACAGCCTGCTTCTTCATGACCAGAAGACTCTACAACTTCATGCCGGGAGGCGGATCGGATCCATCGATCAGCCCGGAATTCTTGCCGGTGCTGCAATCGAGGTGTCCGAAGAACGGTGACGTCAACATCCGGCTAGCGATGGATGAAGGGAGCGAAAGGGAATTCGACAAGCACATATTGCAGAACATAAGGCAAGGATTTGCAGTGTTGGAGTCCGATGCAAGGCTGGCTGATGATGATAACACAAGAAGTGTGATTGACTCATACTTTGATCCAATGTTTGGAGCATCTTTTGAGTCTGAGTTTGTTGATTCTATTGTGAAGATGGGTCACATTGGGGTCAAGACTGGTTCACTTGGAGAGATTAGGCGTAAATGTTCTTCATTTAATTAATTAATTAATTCAACTTCATTCAGATCTGTAATTTTCTCTCTAGTTTTCTAGGTTGAAGAGGATTTAAGTTGATGATTATGGCCTTATTTTTAATTATTATTATATGTATATACAGTTCAAATTAATCTTGTACCTTTGAGGGGTGTTTTATTTACTAGAGATAGGTAATATTATTGGAGTTATCATAAATTATTGTAACATTTCTTGAGAGACCTAAGTATGTCTATTTTGCTTGTTGATAGAAATAATCATGTTGATACTTTTGCTTCTGTTTCATATCTCTCACAGAGAAGTAGGCGTAAGGAAAACAAAACTCAAAAGTTGTATTTTAAGAAAAGGAAAAAATAAAAATAAATATTTAGTGCTTTAATTTTATATGACATTTCATTTTGATTCCTTAAGGATAGGAGGAGTATAAAGTGTACTTCTAATCTATTCATCTTAATGTCGTTAACAAAAAAATATGACATTGGAATTTTAAAGGCTCATAAAATATATTCTCAAATGCTTAATAACATTTGTTAAAAAAATTATTTGAAACAATAATGCTGTCAAGATTAAGATTACAAGACTGAAAAGATACCTCATTAAATTAAGGTATTAAGCTAAAGCCTTATATAAAGTTAAAGTTGCGCTTGGAAAATTATTGGTATTTTTCCCTAGACATAACATGAAGAGATTTAGGGCAATTGCAATAAGATCTCATGAAATAAATATATTCTCAAAAAAGTATCATGACAACTGAACTGTAATGACATGTTTCAAAAAAATCTTAAAAAAAAATTTTAATTGCTCACTTATTATTAAGATTTTTTTTTAGAATTAAATTTTTTTTTTTGTAAATATATTCCTTTCATAGGATCTTATTACAACTCTCCCGTAAGTTGAATTAGCAATAACTCCTTTGAATTTCTTTCAGCATACAGATTTGAGAGAATTGAATTTGTGGAGATTATTTTTTAAGAAAACGAATTGAAACTTTAAAAAATATTTTAAATTTAATTGAACCATTAGAAAATATACAGAACAATGGGAGATATCATTTGAGCAATATTGACCGTGAATTAGAAAACGAAAGAATCTTTTTGAAGCATTTGAAAAGGTCAGAGAAAGACAAAAATGTCTATGAGATGCCACTAAATATAGAAGAGGAAGCCAAGAAAATCTCTCAAAATTACCAAAATTTAATGCTGAAAAGCAGGGTCATATGGTTGGCTAATCTGAAATTGATGAGAAAGTAATAATAATATGCTTTGACCCAATAAAGAAAAACAGAGGAAAGGAGGGGAAACAGAAAAAGGAAAGAGCTGTGAAGATTGAAACACTCCAATTCTCTTTCCTTCTTCTTTCTTTCCTCTGATTAATTAAGGTTTGAAATTAGCAGAAATTGCAGAAAACTTGGGCTGTTCTTCTGAGTTTTTGTCTTTGCATGCAACAAGGATACGTAAAATAAGGAGCGATTTTCATGGCACCTTGATCCCTTCACGAGTCCCACTGCCCCTTTGATCTCCTTTATATTGATTCAGGTATCTGCTCTGCATTTTGGATTTGAACCAGACTAAGTTTCATGCATTTGGATGAAATTTAAGACGAGTCATATTGTTCATGGCTTCTTGCAATTAGTTCATCACTTCCTACAAAAGGATACAATAACTTGTAGACGTTATAGATATATTGATATTGATATTAATTTTTTAACGTACGATTGTCTTAGGGAAAGAAAGTGACTTTCTTTTTTCTTTTTAACAATAGTCATTGTTCAATAAGTTTCATTTATTTTTTTGAGAAGTTTACTGAAAAAATTCTTATTGCAAAATTTATTTTTCAAAAGTGACTGAAATTTTTTTAAGAACTCAGGCACAACCTCTTTTCAACGGATGCAATTCTTATTCAATTATACATAATCTATTTTTTTAACTATGTGCAAAATAAAAGCAGCATTTTTATATAATTGAAGACATGCTACACAGTTAAAAAATTGTTAGGCAACTTCAGGCAATAAATTTGGTAACTAGGAATTTATCAAAAAATTTTCCTTTCATTTTTATAATTTTTCGGCTACAAGTATGAGTGTCATTTTCAAATTTTTTTAATGCTTAAAATCAGTTTTTTTTCCTTTTTTGGTCTAAAGAATGAGACACCTTTCTTTTCAACTTCTTGTGATTTCTGTCATGGACTGGCAATAATTTTCAGTAGCCTCATTTTTTTTTTTAAATCATCTATTCTCAAAGTAAAACACACAATGTGACATGAGATTGTTCACAGGTGACCAGAAATCCAGAAGCCACTGATAGCGCCCCAGGCAGATCGCGTTGACCTTTGACACATGACGAGCAAGATCTGGAGAGGGGCATTAGGGGCAGTAAAGGATCAAACAAGCATCGGTTTAGCCAAGGTCGGAAGCACCACCGCCCTCGCCGACCTCGACATCGCCATTGTTAAGGCCACCAAGCACAACGAGACTCCCGGCGACGAGAAACACGTCAGAGAGATCCTTAGCTTGACATGTTACTCTCGCTCCCATGTCAGCGCCTGCGTCTCCGCCATCTCCCGCCGTCTCAGCCGCACTCGAAGCTGGACCGTCGCCTTGAAGTCCCTGGTCCTCATCGAACGGCTCCTCCAAGAGGGTGATCCCGCTTATGAGCAGGAGATCTTCTTCGCCACACGGCGGGGCACTCGGCTTCTCAACATGTCGGATTTTCGGGACAGCTCGACGGCTAACTCGTGGGACTTCTCGGCGTTCGTGAGGATGTATGCGTTGTACTTGGACGAGAGGTTGGAGTATAAGATGCAGAATAAGAGAGGAAGAAGAAGCTCGTTCGGGTACGAGGAAGAAGACGAGGATGTAAGGGACCATAGGGATAGATACATGCTTACATATAGGGACAGAGACAGAGACGGAGATGGAGACGGAGACAGAGAGAGAGACAGAGACAAAGACAGAGAGAAGAACAGATCAGAAAGCTTGGGTAGGTCTACGCCATTGCATGACTTGAGGACAGAGGCATTGTTCCCTAAGATGCAACATTTACAGATATTGCTTGAGAGGTTCTTGGCTTGTCGTCCCTCAGGTTCGTTTATACTTCATATTGCAACTTTGCATGAACATGTTAACAACACTCGCTTGGTCTTAAGTTTAGAAACTAAATAATTAATAATTAATTTGTGGCTATTTAAAAAATTGGTTACGTTAATTATTTATTAAAAAATATTTATTAACTTTTCTTAAATGCCCCCTTTTAATTATTTGTATTGGAAAGTATTCTATTGATGAAAAGCGCCATTACTATGCATATGCAATAGAGCCTAGGAAAGAAAATTATAAATTTGGAGGACAAAGTAGATTAATATTTTACATTTAGCATCAAAACAAACTTTTGTATTACCTATTATGTTTAAAACCGGAGGGATACTATTTTTCTGCATCGAATTTCAATGATATTTATGTAGGACATTTTGAATTAGTGTATAATTGTTATGCTGTATCTAATATAAGAATGAACTAAGCATCTTAGACTTTTGATCTGCATATTGCATCTTTAAAAATGTAAACTAAATCAGATTCTCATTCTTCTTCTTCCTGTAACAGGAGAAGCAAAGAACCATCGAATTGTGATGGTGGCTCTCTACCCTATATTGAAGGAGAGTTTCCAAATATATTTTGAAATGACAGACATTCTGGGGATCTTGGTTGACCGTTTTGAGGATATGGAGGTTCAAGATTGCATCAAGGTTTATGACATTTTCTGTCGTGTTGGAAAGCAGTACGATGAACTAGACCTCTTCTACACATGGAACAAGAGTATGGGGATTGCACGTTCTTCTGAGTTCCCAGACATCGAAAGGATCACCTCCAAGAAACTCGAGGTCATGGATGATGTCATTAGAGAGAGAACCGCCATGGAACACTCAAAAGGAAATGCAAAACCCCAGGAAGAGAATATTGCAGAACCAGAAAAACCAGAGCCACAAGAGGATATGGATGCAATCAAGGCACTACCACCACCAGAGACAAAAGAGGAACCAGCAGAAGAGCCCAAAATTGAGGAACCAAAAGTTGCACAAGCAGAAGGTGACTTGTTGCACTTAGGAGATGATGATATGGTAACAAGAGAACAACATGAGGATAAACTAGCCTTGGCTCTGTTCGATGGCGCAGGACCGACGACTTCCGAGTCATCTAGTGCCACACTAGCTCTTCCATGGCATGCTTTTGGAGATGGTTCAGATTGGGAAACGACATTGGTGGAATCAGCTAGCAAATTGTCAAACCAGAAGCCAACATTAGGAGGTGGATTTGATGCGTTATTGTTGGATGGGATGTATAACCAAGCAGCTACAAATTCAGCCATTCAAGGGTATAGCTATGGTGCCGGAAGTGCAAGCAGTGTGGCTCAAGGTTCGACCGGAAGGTCCCCGATGCTTGCCCTGCCAGCACCACCGGCTTCTTCAGGATGGGTTAATAATGCAGACCCATTTGCAGCTTCAATGGCAGTGGCACCTCCGGCTTACGTTCAAATGTCGGAGATCGAGAAAAAGCAGAGATTGATGGCGGGGGAACAATTATTGTGGCAGCAATATGCAAGAAATGGCATGCAGGGCCATGCTGGGATGGCAAGGATGCAACCTAGCAATTACATGGGAGGGTATCCAACAAACTTTGGGAGCTATTATCACTAATTAGGATAAATTTTCCAATAGTTTGGACCTAATTACTACAGTCTTTCCTGTATCTCCTTATGGTGATGTAAACATTCCGGCAGGACTCAGGACCAAACGCGACGAATGCCATTGTAATTAAGTAGTGCCATTAAATTATCACTCCAAAAATTTTTTAAAGCGGTGCTCATTTCCCCTTTTTTTTCCCTTGCCAATCTTCCAGTCTTCATTTTGAACAAAATGACTCGAATCAAACAAAACAACTAACTGAAAACGCATCGGAACTCTCCCAGAGTAAATGGAGCATCTTGAACACTTCCTTTCAGAAAATTATGAAGAGAAAGTGAGAGACCACATGCCATTACAAGTAATGTAGTGACAAAATTAGCAGCCGCAGCCGAAACTACAGTTCACGAGCGTGCCTTTAACTAAAGAGCAAACAACTTTCAGCTCCAATTATCATTACACTTGTTTAGGCTTAGAATAACATAGGCGTATCACATTGGATTTTAGTTTTTGCCATTCTGGTACGAGATAGACCCATTGAGAGCATTTCATTAGAGAACAAAATAAGCCAAAAAAAAAAACTTTAATTCGAAACATTAAATTTTCAGAGGCTTAACAGTATCAAAATTGACTGCAGCATTTGAACAGGTTCAGTTAATTGCTCCACAAAATTAAGTGAAAACACTACATAACATATAGATAAGAAATGTCAACGAAGACAATATCCCATACTAAAACAAATAAAAATGCCAAACATAATAGCAAAAGCCAGCAGATCCCATTTCTCCGCCTAAAACAGAGAGGTTCCCTTCCCCTTCTTATCACCGCCTATCTCAAAATGCTTACATCTCTGCAAGATATAACAATGAATTAGCCATCACTGATGAATTCCGACAATAGAACGAAAATATAATCATCCAATGATCTACTAACCTTGATTGGGTGTTGGGACACATGTTTGCACGCCTGACACTGCAACCTCAAGACGATTTTCTTGGTGGTTTTTGCCTAATTAATGAAAAGCAATGAGAATCATAGTAAATTAGGATTAGGAATATGTCTCAAATAACAAATCGACCACCCACTGTGGAGTGCAAATTATATGCCCAAAAAAGCACATTTAGCATGCCTCAACGATTAGCTACAGAAACACGGAACATTGAAACAGCAAATTTGGTTTACCTTCTTGTGGAAGACAGGCTTTGTCTGACCACCATATCCAGACTGTTTGCGGTCATAACGGCGCTTACCCTGAGCTGCAAGGCTATCTTTCCCTTTCTTATATTGCGTCACCTTATGTAAGGTGTGCTTCCTGCATTCTTTATTCTTGCAGTAAGTCTTTTTGGTCTTTGGAACGTTAACCTGCAGGAAAAACATCACACTGCATGTTCTTATATATGCATTAACCAGTTAATTTATCAAAAGAAATAGTAGAGATCCCGTTTCTTAACTACTGAACCATACCAAATGTTTTCTTTTCACAAGTAATACCTCATGGTGAGGTTACTGAAATAACACAGGATAAACAACTAAAATATTTCACATAATACATAATGGCACTAATTTACAATTAATTCCAACAAAACTGAATGGGATCTACCCTAATCAAGCATTGCAAAGAATTTGAGTTTCGGGCATTGAAGTCCCAAAAAAAAAGCTAGCAAAACAAATTCAGACAGGGACCAGTCTAGTAACAGAGAGGAGAGGACAATAGTTCACCACCGAATAAATGCCAAGGCCAACGAAATAAAAGGATGCATGAATGAGCTCTTCATCGAACAAAATAAAGTAGTTCGGAATTAGATGACTGACAACTGAGATTTCAGGACTTACTACAGAAACAGGAAAAGGCCTCAATGAAGAAAGATAATGCCCACCCCTCTCAGCAAAGATTCAGGCTCTCTAATTGAACTTTAAAAGAATTGAAAAGATGAAAAAGCCAGAGCTATAGCGACTTCTTGGCATTTGAAAGACCGAAGGTGTTGAAAATAACCAATTATGAAATTTTACCTCGTAGCTTGAATTTATAGATCCATGATTATTTGGCATTGAATTTGAACCTCTAAACTTTGCAAACAAACCAATAACTTTTTTCCTGTGAATTGATACCCTATACACTGGCACACTTCAACCACCCCCCCCCCCGGTTTTGAGCTCCACATTCTTCCGACAAAACCCAATGTAAAATCAGCATAGCACGCGCCTTTATTTTTCTTCGAAAAGAGAAAAAGAAAATGCATTTTTAAACAACGAAAACAAAACAAGGTAAATCCAAAATGCCTTAGCTTTCAATGCACCTCCATCATCAACTCCGACGGAACAACACACGATATTCAATCACAATGACCCAGATACTACGAAAAGAAAAACTGAGAAAAGAAACCTAATTCGCGTTTAATAAGTAAAAATGAAACAGAGCGAAGTCGATAAAATACAAAGAGAGAGTCGACGGAGATAGAGAAGGTTACCATTTCGACCGTGGGAAGGGGAGAGCTAAGCGGCCAGGAATTGCAGAAACTTCAGAATCAAAAGAAAGCGGAGGCGCCGGCCTCTTATGTATTAGGGTTAACTTATGCGTTTCTTTCTTTCTGGTCAAAAAGAAGTTTGGGCTCAACGTTGGGCCTGGGAGTAAAACACGCCGGCCCATTATTTCTATATGCTCAAACTATTATATGATTTTTTGTTCACCAGCAAAACTCATACTCCTCGAATCCTTAATATAAGACCTAATTATTAAGTTAATTTTAATCCTAAATATAAGACCTATTATATTTATTAATTTTTTAAAATTATCCTATGAATACTCTTTCAACCATAATCAAGTAAAAGAGGGATGTAGGACATTAAGGAAGATGATTATGGTATTTAGAAAAAACATGTCATATCTCTTATAATTAACTAACTTACCTTACTTTCTTAATCTAATCAAATTATTTAAATAGCTCTTATATTAAAGACCAGAGGAGTATATGATTTAATTTTATGCCCAGAAAAAAACTATTATGATTTATTTAGCCACACAACACAATTTAGAATATTTCTCAAAATTTATTTAGTCACCCAAAATAAGTCATCATATTAATGGTTCGTAAATAATGCAATCCCTTTAATTGTTTTGATATTTTATTTTAATGATTTAAGATCAAACTAATAATAACTCATACTATTTTTTTCCGTAACACACAAGAAGAAATATGTATTTTATAAATGTAATAATAGTTTCCTTTTGCTTATTTTTTATTGGCATGAGTGTTGCTTTTTATGATAATTTTTTAAATTTTTGAATGAATTGTATTTTAGCTTATATATTTACCAGGTGGTCCTGTTAATTATCTTATTGCTACTGCAATTCCTCTACTAACACTTCTTTCTTCCATTGACAATTCCCCGTTACCCTTACTCTTCCCAACAAATTTAAACTTAATTTATCCTCTACAACAAGGGGAATCCATCCCTAATGTTTTAACTTAGGATTTGTGAAAACTTGTTTTATTTATGAAAAACAATAACCCTCACAAACCCAATCCATTATTTAAACCCATTTTAATTAGTGGAAATCTCTTACATTTCAAAATCCACCACTAACCCATCGCTTTCCTTCTCTAAACCCCTGAAAACCCAAAATTTAAAGGTGAAAATTAAGTTAGGGAAGCTTACCTGGGTTTAGAAGCTTCGAAGTGCCACCCGAACTCCAAAATAGTGAAACTCTAGTAGAGAGCAAAGAAAATCACTGCCCTCCTCTCATCTCGTTTTGGTTTTAGATCTATCTGAATGCAATTTAAAAAAAAAAAAAAACTAAAGGCAAATATTTTTTTGCTAGAAGCAATCATGTTAAAGATATTATCAGGTACTAAACATGGGAACATCTTTTAATAAGGATTCAAACACTGGTTTGCCATGTTATAGAAAACTAGTCTTTTCTGCTAGATCTGATTCCTGTTTGCCATCATTTTTTTTCTTGGTAGACATGGGTACTTTCCTATTGGAATTAATCATATTTAAGACACTGTCGGATACCAAATGCAGGCACCTTTTTCAGGGAGATTTGAATATTAGTTTATCACGTTATGGAGGACTAGCCCCTTCTACTAAATTTAGCACCATTAGTCCCATTTGCCTTTTTTTTTTTTTCTGGTTGCCCAGAGTATCCTCCCACTCAAATGGTAAGAGATTAATCTCTCAGGGTATTGTCAAGTGCTGTAGCAAGGACCCTTCCTAATAGTATTTTTTCCATACACACTATCCCAAAGATCGAACTCATAACATGAGATTTAAGGTGCTCAAATCTCTTTCACTTGGACTAACATTGGTTTTTGGTCATTGATTGCACCCAATAATTCTTCGATCAAAAAGCCCCTCCACAATGGGCTTTTCATTCATGTCTTAATTATGGGCTTATTAAGCTCAATAACCACCTTTAGCCCATTTTTTGTAAATGTTCTGAAGCCTCAAATGAGCCTCGTAAATCATTGCATTAAACAGTGATAGACTAATTTTGGGCTATGAAAGAAAAACACGGTTCAGATTAGAAAAGGAAAAATAAAAGTGAAAAAAAAAATAGTAGTTCATTAGTTATGACAAGTTTGACAAGTTCTTAATTTTGAAGTGTTAGAGAGGGGATAATTGAGTCATTTACTAAGTGAGATAGGCCTATATAAAAGGTCTAGTGTAATGTGTTTAGAGTGTGAGATAATGTAATCTTCATCATGAAAGGGGGAGGTTAACTTGGGTCTCCCATCTTAAGAATCCTCATAGGTTATGGGGTTTGTTTATCACCCTTGTATAAGGGATGATTAGTGTTAACCCAAGTGGGTTACAATGATTGTATGAGCATGTGCTCTATCATGAATAATACATCTAAGTTCCATCTTTCTTCTTCTTATTTCTCTCAAATCTCCAAAGTTAACATGAAGCCAGATAAAACACTTTTTTAGTTGAAATGGTTGGTTCAATCCCATTTTTTGACAAGTCAATTATGTATATAATTTTTCCGTCTTTCTATGCATTACTGCAGCATATAAAAGTTATTATTGCATTTCTAGAATGTTACTAATTTCTCAGCAAAGACAAATGACACATGTGATGCATCATCGTCCACCAGCCTTCATGCTGTGCTTAAAAGGAAAAACTTTAAATTGACTTTCTCAGAAATGTCTGGTGTGTGTGTGTGTGTAATATGTTTGAAGCAACCTGTTATTATATATGCACATACAAAGTCACACTACTTAATGCTTTTGAACTTTATGTGCCTTTAGCTTTACTTTGTTTAATACTATATATCATCTGTTTTTTTGTGGTCCTCTGTTACGTTGGTGTTCTCTTCAATTCTTTTTGTAAAGAGCACAAAGGTAGTCTGTGAGTTGTGTGCGTTTAGGCCCGGTTTGATTGCACCATTGCAGAAAAATTATTACTTTTCTATAATCATATGAAAAATGACATATATATAATACTCTTTCTGATCCCTCATATAAAAGTTAGTTGAAACAGAATTTAGTTCTAAATATAAGATTTCGTTCTACTTTGTTATCCAAATTTATCATTTGTTCCTGAACTAATTTACACAACCTATATACTGATATATAATTTTGTATTAGAGAAGGATATTTTGAGGAGATCATGTTACATTTTTTGTAATTAACTAATTTATCTGACTTTCTTAATCTACTCAAATTAATTAGGTAGCATTATATTAAAGACTGAGTGATGACAGTGCCTCACAACTTAGTGAACCAATATTTAAATCCCCGTTGAGAGAAGTGTTAATATTTAGTACTCGACAGTATCTCAAATGTGATAGCCTCCAATAGGAAAATATTTATGTGTAGGGAAAAAATAAGTGAGTATTTATTATATTTTTGTTGTTGTGAAGTTGACTAATTTTGAAAATTTGGGTTGACCTTTTAGTAGTAGTAGTAGTAGCTGCATGGAGCAAAAATTAACTTCACTTAAAAGCTACACATTGGCCTCATAATCATTCTTGCACCACTGTCTCACTTTTGCCTTTGTCAGAAGTCAAAACCCATCATCATGCAGCAAACCAAGCCGTGAGGGTTTTGTTTTTCTTCCTTTATTTTAATATACAGATTCTTTGCTTATTATACGTATTTGTGACTATAAAAAGTGAACTTATGACTAGTTAAAATACTAATTCATAATTTAATGGTTGGATAGATGAGGTGATTAGAGTAACATATTGTCAGTGTTATAAGAAATTTGATAAATAAGCTTTATATAGTAGAGTTTAACATACCATTTATCTCAAACTCGCATTATGCGTAGTCTAATATATAAAATTTATAGACTTCATACATACAAACAATGAGAAGCCTTACCTCATTTGATGTGATCGGTTACATTGATCTTAAACTTAATCTACTACTCTATGTAATGCACATGAAAATATTTCTAATTTTATCAAAGAAAGATAAATATGTAACATATCTAATTATATGTATTTTTTATTTTATTTTTTATTTCAAAATAATCCTTATCGGTAAAGAATGGAAATGGATCAAATTCATTAAATAAATATATTATCAGATCTAATATAGTATTGCATTTGTAGGACTAATTCAGTTAATTTACATTATTTACTTACTGTGTAGAAACAACATCATACCATGTTATTTTTCTCAAATAAAGGGGAAAAACATATAATTCACTCAGATTTTATCTAAATATTCCTCTGCTTTTTTTTTTGGCCAACTTAATTAGTATGAACGATTTAGATCTCATTGCACCCATGGAAGATGTATAAGAACTTGAATTTCTGGGTACTTTTAGTCAATTAATTTTGAAATGAGCAATTTTTCAGTAATTTTGAAACAATAAAAAGCGGTTAGGAACAAGTTGGAAAATGAGGTCCATTTGGTTTGGGCAGTGTTTTGTATAGCTTTTATAATGATTAAAGCTTCCATTTTGATTTGGCATTTTCAACTTTTGAGAAGGAACATTGATTTTTTAATTTTATTTAATTCTTTTTTTCCCTAATCGTGGGGGAGAGCCGCAAAGTATTATAATCATGTTCTCTCTAATAATCTCTGCTCACTTTCAAGTTTGAAATTGTCATGGCTCTTTATTATCTAAGAAGCATGTGTGTTTTAAAATAACCCCACAGAAACAAAATGATTCGACATGTTTAGTTCCATATTTAAAAATTGATAAAATTATGGTTTTGATGAAAACATATAATAATTACATGCTTTCACCAAAATCACAATTTTAGTAATCCTTAACATGAATCCAAACACACCACGAGTTTTAATATTATATTATAACGAGAACAGTACTGTAGAGTTAAGTTTTGGATTCTATGAAATAATATTGTAATATTCAGAGAGACAGATTGAAGTAAATAAATGAAAATATGATGTCTATTTTATTTATTTGCACTCATTCAATTTTTTTTCTTTTTTATCTTGTTTTACTTTATGGTACTACGGCATTCCTCCGATTCTTAATATAAGATCTATTTAACTAATTTAATTAGATTAAGAAAGTTAGGTAAGTTAGTTGATTATAAGAAATATGACATGTTTTTCCT